TAGTTCACTTACCTGGATCTGACAAACTAGAAATGGAAATTGACACACAAAGGTGCAGTTTTATGACCAGTGTTGTAGAGAATAGATCGAGACAGACACTGAACTTGAGTGCCCAAAATATAAGGGAGTGCGGGATAGAATTCCTCATTTGATCAAGAATATTACAAGTCCTTTTCATCAAAAAGTAATGATGGAAAAACGGCACCTCACTCTATAGAAATCTGCCAGGAATGGAGACAAAATCAAAACCAGATACATTGTGAAGCCTCTCTTTGACAGATGTCTGAAGAGGTTTTTTTGTTTTTTTTTTTTTTACACTTCGGCGACACTTCTATAGCTTTTCAGTCTAGAAAATTTTATTGAATTTCAATTTTTGAACCATTCATCATAGCCTAAGTTGTTCTCTAATAACTGAGTTCATAACTGCGTCTCAGGCTTCACCTTTTAAAGACTAGTTAAATACCTGGCTTCAGGAAGAGGACTGAAATTACCTTAAAACATCTCTTTGACCTCTGAGTGGGGGAGAAATCCTTCCTTAGCTAGTGGACAGGCCTTTATGGAACCATTTGAGCAGATCCTCAAATCAGGCGCTCCTTCCCCAGGTTTTGTTTTTAGATGACTACTTGAATTCAGCCTCCGTATAGTATCCTGATTCTCATGAGAAAGGAGAGATAGTCAAGAGTGCAACTGTTATTTTTATCTAGTTTAAAGAAGTTTTAATTGATTCAAACAACATTAGGCCACTACATAGTTTTATTTAATGTTTGTTTATTTAGATATAAAACTAAACAGCAAAGAATGCCCATTCAGAGCTCTGAATTCCTTCGCGTTTAAAAGCACCTTAAAAAAAAAAAAAAAGTTGCACAATGTAAGGCTTAATCATTTGTGTGTATCACGTGTCCTACAACATCCAAAATTACCTGTATTGAAAGCTTTTACACTTCTTTAGTATACTAAAAATGTACTGTAAGTTAATATAAGGTTTCCTTTATCATTGTATATTAAGAAATTAGCTTTATGATATCATACACCTCTTACTGTTTTTGGACCTCAGTTACTTCTTATGGTCACCTTAAAAACACTTGCTGTCTGATGGTCACTGTTGTATATTTGCCAGAGACACATTTTTGCTTTAAATTTTTTCTTCTCTTAAAAGATTGTCTTGAGCAAAAGAATCCTGATGGGACAAAAAGTTGGTTATTATAGTTTTAATGTGTATTGTTACTTCTAGAATAACTTTCTCTTTAAAACCTTGTTTTTTTCCTTTGATTATTTGAATTGTTTATATAGTTGTATATAAGTACGGCCATATTGGGTCAGACCAAAGGTCCATTTAGCCCAGTATCCTGTCTTCCTACAGTGGCCAATGCCAGGTGCCCCAGAGGGAATGAACAGGACAAGTAATCAAGTGATCCATTCCTTGTTGCCCATTCCCAGCTTCTGGCAAACAGAGGCTAGGGACACCATCGCTGCCCATCCTGGCTAATAGCCATTGGTGGACTTATCCTCCATGAACTTATCTAGTTCTTTTTGGAACTCTGTTATAGTCTTGGTCTTCACAACATTCTCTGGCAAAGAGTTGCACAGGTTGACTGTGCGTTGTGTGAAGAAATACTTCCTTTTTGTTTGTTTTAAACCTGCTGCCTATTAATTTCATTTGGTGACCCCTAGTTCTTGTGTTATGAGAGAGTAAATAACACTTTCTTATTTACTTTCTCTATACCAGTTATGATTTTATAGACCTCTATCATGTCTTATCTATCCCTTTCTTAATGATTCCCAATATTCTATTAGCCTTTTTGACTGCCACTGCACATTGAGTGGATGTATTCAGAGCACTATCCACAATGACTCCAAGATCTCTCTCTTGAGTGGTAGCAGCTAATTTAGACTCCATCATTTTTTATGTGTAGTTGGGATTATGTTTTCCAATGTGCATTACTTTGCATTTATCAACATTGAATTTCATCTGCTGTTTTGTTGCCCAGTCACCCAGTTTTGTGAGATATAATGAAAGGAATCTTGTTGTAATTTAATGAAAGGAATCCTGCTTTGTAAAGGGATCCAGTGGAAAACCCAAAGAAAATAATTATTTATAACATCTAATATATAAAATAAAAAATATTACATTTATAAAGTTTGTATCTTTCTCAGTTTGCTGGCTCCCCCATCAGTGGAATAATCCTTCAAAAGAATTCTACTTAATCTTGCTCACACTATGGTGGAGAAAGTCTATGCACATATAAGACACTATTCTTTAATATTTTCTCTTAAGTTGCTGCTAATAGGTATATTCTTTTATTTTCATTGTTTTTCTGTTGTAGATTTTAATGTATTTTCTAGGTACTTGTAAATTGCTAAAATTTTAACTTGTATAACAACTGTATGTGATTTAGTATACTTAAGAAAAGATGCCACCAAATGTAAATTTGCCTATCCTGAAGTTGAATGATTAGAAAATAATTTTATGTATGCAGAACTCTCCTTACAATTTCTACCTGAGACTTTTAGATAAGGGTACAATTGTACAAGCATCTGGGGAAAGTCTGGTGTAGCTGCTTGGTGAGCATAGTCAATGGCGCAAAGAAGACAAGAGAATATTTGTAATATGTTTACAGATAATTATGTTGTAATAAATTTGAGTTTTTGTGTGAACCCCCCCCTCCCCCCAAGTTACTTTGCTTTTTATTTGGTGGACATTATTTTGTAGATATACACTGTTAAGGGCATAATATTAGAGCTGCCATGGGTCAGACCATGGTCCATCTTGCCCAGTATTCTGTTTCTGGGGCAGAGGCCCATAACAGAGCTTCAGGGGGAGTGTACAAAACAGGGCAGTTATGGAGGGATCCATCCTCTGTCTTCCACTACCGCCTTCTGGTAGTCAGAGGTGTAAGGTTACCCCAAAGCATGAGGTTGCATCCCTGACCTCTTGACTAATAGCCATTGATTAACATATCCTCCTTGGATTTGCCTAGTTCTTTTTTTGAACCCAGTTATACTTTTGGCCATCACAACATCCCATGGCAATGAATTCCACAGGTGAGTTGTGCATTGTGTGAAAAAGTTCTTTCTCTTGTTTGTATTAAACCTCCTGCCTATTAATTTAATTGAGTAATCTCTGGTTTTTGTATTGTGGGAAAGAGTAAATATTCACTTCTATTCACTTTTTGCACAACATTTATGATTTTATAGACCTCTATCATATCCTCCCTCCCTCCCCCCCATATCATCTCTTTTCTAGGCTGAACAGCCTTGATATTTTTAGATCTCCTCACATGGAAACTGTTCCATACCCTTGTTCATCTTCGTTGCCCTTCTCTGAATCTTTTCTGGTTCTGTTATATCCGTTTTGAGCTTGGTTGACCAGAACGGAACACAGTATTCGAGGTGTAGGCACACCATGGTTTTATATAGTGACGTTATATTTTCTGTACCTCTCCTAATAGTTCCTAACATACTGTAGCCTTTTTGACTGTCATTGCACACTGAGTGAAAGTTTCTAGGGAACTATCCATGATGGCTCCAAGAGCTTTTTCTTGGGTGGGAACAGCGAATTTAGAACCCATCATCGTATATGTTTAGTTAAGATTATTTTTCCAAGATAAGTTACTTTGCACTTATTACTTTGGCACTCCTCTACATTTGTTGCCCAGTCACCCAGTTTTGTGAGATCCCTCTGTAACGTCTCACAGTTTGCTTTGGACTTACCTTTTTTGAATAATTTTGTATTCTCTGCAAATTTTACCACTTCATTGTCCACCTCCTTTTCCAGATCATTAATGAATATGTTGAATAGCTCAGGGCCCAGTACAGATCCTTGGGGGACCCTGTTGCTCACTTTCCTCCACTGTGAAAACTGACCATTTATTTGTCCCCTTTGTTTCCTATCTTTCAACCAGTTACTGATCCATAAGAGGACCTTCCCTCTTATCCCATGGCTACTTAGTTTCCTTAAGAGCCTTTGTTGAGAAACCTTGTTGAATTCATCACCAAAGTCTCTTACCCTTGTTGAGTAAAGGTCACATATGTTTTGCAAAGCCATAAGGTGCATGTGGAGTGGAATGATAGTTGTAGTTTGGCGCAGTGGGCTTGGACTCAAAAACTAGGGCTTTTATTCCCAGTTCTACCACAGACTTTCTTTTTGACCTAGAGCAAATCTGTGTCCCTCTGTTTTTCATTTGTAGAATGGTTACAAGGATACTTCCTTATATCACAGGGGTATTTATGAAGATAATTTGATTAATGTGTGTGAGGTACTTGGATATGACTTGATGAGTACCATAGAAAAACTTATCAGTAAACAAGAAATGTAACTGAAGCTATGTACCGGTTGTTTTGTATATAGAAATGTGCATAGAAAATATTTTTAACTAGTTCAGTGCTTCATTTAAGAAGAAGGGTTCTAACTTAATATGTTCTTTTTTAGGCTTTACTCACTGCAGTAACATCTCAACACATAGAAATCCATGAAGGAACCGTGCTGCAGGCTGTAAGAACATGTTACAATATCTATCTCGCAAGCAAAAATCTCATAAATCAGACCACAGCCAAGGCCACTCTCACACAAATGCTGAATGTTATATTTGCACGTATGGAAAACCAAGCAGTGAGTATCTTAATATTCTGTATGTAGAAAATAGTTCCTAAAAGATAATTTTGATTATAGACTTGTTTAGTTATTCATACTACAAGATTGTATGGTATTTGTAACTTTTCATTCAATAAATAACTACTTAATTTTTTTTTATGGTATTGATCATTCAGATTGTTCCTTTGATATTTTGGTATATGAACTAGCTGATGAATTAAAAGAATTGAAGCAGAAACTTTGTTCATCTCTTCGGTAAACTGGAAACGGATTTTGAACTTTGCAATGTAGTGAAGCACAGGCCATGAAGCACATACTACAGCACATTGTCCTCCAGAAGTTGGAATGGAATCAGACTCCTTCAACTCAACATTCCTCTGGTGTCAGCAAATAGCTGTGAAACCAACTGGCAAAGTGTGTCACGTCCTCCTCTAGCTGTCAGCCTACACAGAGGATGACAACTTTCTACTGCTATCAGTTACTCCATTAGCTCAAGTGGCAGAGGTTTATGTGGATCAAAAGGTTCAGCCCTGCTTATGAGCCATGTGGGTGTCAGTGTGATTCCACATGATAGCATTTGTGTTTTCAATTTGCTTTTTTAAAATCCTAGGTAATTACACACACACAAAACTATGTAAAAAGAATGTTATGGTTGCAAAGTCCAGCTTTCAGAGATTCTGAAATGCCAATCTCCCCCTCCCCCTGCCTTGTGCACATGCCCTGTGATGGTCCTTAATACATGGTCACATAGTATTTTTTTCCACAGAAAGCCTCCCTCATTCAGTGCACAGAATAGAGTACATAATCTTGATTCATTCACCCAGAGCATAAAGTATCAGGGGAGCCGTGTTAGTCTGTATCCACAAAAACAGCAAGGAGTCTGATGGCACCTTAAAGACAAACATTTATTTGGGCATAAGCTTTCATGGGTAAAAAACCCACTACTTCAGATGCATGGAGTGAAAATTACAGATGCATGCATTATACTGACACATGAAGAGAAGGGAGTTACTTCACAAGTGGAGAACCAGTGTTGGCAGGGCCAATTCAATCAGGGTGGATGTAGTCCCCTCCCAATAACTGATGAGTAGGTGTCAATTCCAGGAGAGGCAAAGTTGCTTTTGTAGTGAGCCAGTGGCTCCCAGTTCCTATTCAAGCCCAAATTAATGGTGTTAAATTTGCAAATGAATTTTAGTTCTGCAGTTTCTCTTTGAAGTCTGTTTCTGAAGTTTTTTGTTCAAGTATGGCTACTTTTAAATCCATTAGAGAATGTCCAGGAAGATTGAAGTGTTCTCCTATTGGCTTTTGTATGTTACCATTCCTGATGTCCGATTTGTGTCCATTTATTCTTTTACGTAGAGACTGTCTGGTTTGGCCAATGTACATGGCAGAGGGGCATTGCTGACACATGATGGCATATATAACATTAGTAGATGTGCCGGCTGAATGAGTCCCTGATGGTGTGGCTGATGTGATTGGGTCCTCAGATGATGTCGCTAGAGTAGATATGGGGACAGAATAGGCAATGAGGTTTGTTACAGGGATTGGTTCCTAGGTTAGTGTTTCTGTGGTGTGGTGGTATAGTTGCTGGTGAGTATTTGCTTCAGGTTGTGGGACTGTCTGTAAGCGAGGACTAGCCTGCCTCCCAAGGTCTGTGAGAGTGAGGGATCGTTTTCTAGGATAGGTTGTAGATCGTTGACGATGTGCTGTAGAGATTTTAGCTGGGTGTATGTGATGGCCAGTGGTGTTCTGTTTTCCTTGTTGGGCCTGTCCTGTAGTAGGTGACTTCTGGGTACCCGTATCGCTCTGTCAATCTGTTTCCTCACTTCCCCAGGTGGGTATTGTAGTTTTAAGAATGCTTGATAAAGATCTTGTAGGTTTTTTGTCTCTGTCTGAGGGATTGGAGCAAATTCGGTTGTATCTTAGGGCTTGGCTGTAAACAATGGATTGTGTCATGTGTCCTGGATAGAAGCTGGAAGCATGTAGGTAGGTATAGCGGTCAGTAGGTTTCTGGTATAGGGTGGTGTTTGTGACCATCACTTATTTGCACTGTAGTGTAATGGATCTCTTGTGTGGACTGGTCCAGGCTGAGGTTAATGGAAATTGTGGATGGTGGGGTGGAAATTGCCCTAAGCGAGATGAGTACCCAGAAGTCACCTACTACAGGACAGGTCCAACAAGGAAAATAACAGAGCACCAGGAACTGAGCATGCATTAAGGAGAAAACAAAATATTGAATAGCTGCTCTTTAATTGAGCACCATCCATCGTGTGCACTGACTAGGCAGGGGTCTTGTGGGGAAAAAAGTGTGATCACATATTTAATGACTATCATAATGCATAAGTGCAAGGGGACCAAATGAAGGTTGCACAAACAATGATAATACTGGCATTTCCTAACTTCTGAATGCTTGACTTTGCACCCTTGATGTTCTTTTGATGTGAGTAATAGTCACCTTAACAGATGCCTACAGAGTACTGCCATGGTTTGCAGTGAAAGTGGTGAGCTGAGTCTACTGCTTCTTGTGCCCCATGCTCTGTGCTACTGATAGCAAAGGAGTTAATAAAGCAAATTGCCACAGGAAACAGAAGGACGGTCAGATCCTAGAAGTGCTTGACTTCATTACTTTTTCCTGAAGAGACTGGTATTTTTTTTGTTAGTTTGTGAATATTAGCAAGCAGTTTCCTTTCAGATTGAACAGTGTTTGAGTCATCCAGTGATCTAAATTCATTAGTTTGCTCATTAGTTTCTGAAAAGAAACTGCTTATCAATACATGGTATGACTGCTGTCAGATATTATTGTTCAAGAAACAGCTGAGCTGTTGAGCACTGATGTGAACTTGCTCTTAGGTATCAATTGTGTAGTTGTAGTTATAGGCAGGGAATGACATTTTAGGAACATGCTACTCAGGCCTGGTCTACACTAACCCCCCAATTCGAACTAAGGTACGCAACTTCAGCTACGTGAATAAAGTAGCTGAAGTCGACGTACCTTAGTTCGAACTTACCGCGGTCCAGACGCGGCAGGCAGGCTCCCCCGTTGACTCCGCGTACTTCTCGCGCCGAGCAGGATTACCGGAGTCGACGGCGAGCACTTCTGGGTTCGATTTATCGCGTCCAGACAAGACGCGATAAATCGAACCCAGAAGTTCGATTGCCTGCCGCCGAACCAGCGCGTAAGTATAGACAAGCCCTCAGAGGCTAAAACTGAAGACTGAGGCCTCTTCATTGGGATTTAGGGGCAGTACCAGTGTTGAGTTTAGGATTGTGAAGGTCTGGGTTTCGAATTGGGTTGGGAGAAATGGGGCCTTACTTCTTGCATCAACACTGGCCAGTAGATGAACTTTGTTCCCTTTCTTTCCCTTGCTGGGAGAGTGGGGAAGGGACATCACTCCTTACTCCTTTTCCAGGCTGACGATAGAGAGGCACACTTCCGGTTCTCATCTTTCATTTTTGCTAGTAGGTGTGGTGTTTGTATTGTCTTACTCCCCCACTCCCATTTCAGAGAATGGAGGACCAATGCTCAGGGCCAGACCTATACTTCTTTGCTTGTTAAATTCACTCACCAGTGGTAATCAGGAAACAGCAGTGTTGTCTTCCAACTATGGCTGTCACTTTATAGGGAAAATGTTCCTTCCCTGCTCTTTCACACATATTAAGTTGCTCAAAAGGAGACTTCATACTCCAGGAAAGGACTACATTAACATCCCATAAACGAGGGGTCTCTCTAAATTCTCCGAACTATTCCTGTTTGTTCTCTTCGTTTGAATTAAATTGATCTTTCACTTCGCATCTGACTCTTGAGACACATCTCAAACCCATTTTTTAAAGTGATTGCTTTAAAAAAAGGGTAGAGGCAGTTATTTAATCAGTAAGTAAAAAAAGGGGATATAATTACTTAAAACACACATTCTGCCATAGAGAGGGTCTAGCAACTGAAGACTTTTTGCTTGTAACCGGAAGAGTCTGGGATAGAGATCACTTGCTGCAGAATGTAGGTCATGCTCATTGTGCATTATATGGTTCTGTTTGTAAATAGTATTTGTAAGTTAGTGTAAAATCTGTAGTATTAAAAATCTTGGTTAATGTAATGTTAAGATTCAGAGGTTAGTACCAGTGCTAGAATTCCCTTGGTGATTCTATCCCCATATCAACAATACAACCATTAACAAATATTTTTAGTACTACACCTCTTCCTGTACTTTCAGCCCTTCGGCTCTTTTATAAGAGTACTTACTCCCATGGCTGCTCTCCTTGGACGTCCCTCTTTGTTCGGTCCTACCCCAGAGTTCTGCTCCAAGACTTGCCACAAGCTGTTCTTATCCCTCCAGTAGGCCTAGTTTAGTCACCTGATCTACCTGTCATATAGCTTCAGCACTCATCTCCACCACCTGGGGAGGCAAGCTCAGTGTGGCACGGGTGGTGTAGCTTAGCCTTAACTCTCTTAAAGGGCGGGCTCACCCGGTCACAGCAGGTATACAAATACAACATAAGCAAATGTACTACCAATAAAAGTAGATTTATTCACTAATGTAGCATAGTAGGATGTAAATAGATACAATAAGAGAATATTTGAACATTGTTGACTATTTTACTAATAATAAAATGTATTATCCAGCACAAATTAGGGTATACTGCTCATATTAGATTTTGTTTGTTTGTTTTCAATTCACAAACAGCATTTTATTTTTAACCAAATGTGTATTGGTTAATACCTAATCTGTTTCTAGCTCCAGGAAGCCAAACAGATGGAAAAGGAAAGACACCGACAACAGCACCATCTACAGCAGTCACCCTTAAGCCATCATGAACCTGAATCACCTCAGCTGAGACATCTTCCATCACAGACAGTCAATCAGCTACCCCAAGATCATGAAGGAGAACTTGACCACAGCACAAATGATGTGGACAAGAGCCTTCAAGAAGATACAGAAGCAGAAAATGGTTCTGATATTTACAGTGCAGAAAATGAACAGACAGAAGCTGACCAGGCTGCAGCAGCAGAAAGTAATCACTGTGTGGTTTGATCTTAGTGAGGAGGAAGAGGATGTGGAGTTTTATAGTACTTAAGGGCTGAGCAACTTAATGGAAGATTATTCTGTTTCCAGTTAGCAAAATACAGTTAAGAATAGTGTACAAATATCAGTTTCCTTTGCTACCACTGTTAACATTTTATCTTTACAACATATTTCAGTCACAAATAAATTACATCTGCTCTAGTCATTGCAGTCTACATGCATGCTTGCACCCAGGCAATCACAAATGTGCAGCCACATATTGTAAAATGTACACGTGTCAACCTTGTTTTTTCACTCTAAACCCATTGAAATGTTAACATATATTCTTTAAGTATTTTTCACAAATTTACACAATTACAACTTCAGTTATCTCTAAGGATAACTAATGTACTCCCCTCTCCTTCCCTTACCAAAACATATTCAGATCTTCTTACCTGTGATAAGAAAAGTACATTTAGCCATTCAGTACTTCTGTCATGTTCTGGGTTTTTTAATATATAATATTGTGTTTAAAACCTTCTTGATTGACTTCAGTGCTTGTCAATAATCTTTTTCCTGCTTTTTTTTTTTTTGTGTGTGTGTGTGTGCGTGTGGAAGATCTGTCTAAAAGTGATGCGGGAACATATGATGGAGAAAACAATGAATGTGAAGAAAAGGCACAAGATATTGTACAGAGTATTGTGCAGGAAATGGTGAACATAATAGTTGGAGGTATCATAATCACTTTTAAAATGTATATACTGCCAGCTTCGTTCTGCAATCACCTTTGTCTAAGCAGTCATTAAGGAGTCCTTTAACCATTTGTGTATGTTTAAAATAAAATACAATTCTAAACCATTTTAATTTCATGTTTACTCTCTGAGGTAGTCTTTCAGCTGGCCCACTTTAAACTGTACCACTTGACGATAAAATGAACTAGAGGGGGGCTTTTTACTATTTACCTTAACTGAGGGGGAATTTTTTAGATGTGATAGTTTGCTTAATTTTCAGCTATAATCAGTTTTTCAGATTTCTGACTGCATTTATATCTCCACTTCCATTTTGTTTCTACACTTAAGTTCTTTACAGCTCTTCTTCAGACCATTAATGAAATACTAAATATTCAAAATGTCCATTTATAGCTCAGTTAAAAATGTTTTGTTTCTGCTTAAATCGTTTTGTTTTGAACTGAAACTGATTTTTTTTCTTGCAGAAACAAAGAACTTATTTTGGGTCAAAATGAAACCATTTCAAATTTTGAGTGACATTTTCATAATGAAATGTTGATTTGACTTGACATTTCTGAATTTTGTGGTGGGGTTTTTTGTCTGAAATTTTATTGAATTCTATTCAAATTAATTGAATGTTTTTGATGCCCTGAAAAATGCAATTTTGGGTGAATTTGGTGAATTTACTATTTTCCAAAAAAAATTCACAGTAATATAAAATTCAATACCTTGTAGGATTGGGCCCTATGCCGCTTTTAATCTTATTGCACTGAACTTCTAAAAAAATTCTTCTAATTTTAAATTTGAATATTGTATATTTTTGCATGATATTTTGCTTTTTACCTTTTTCCCCCCATTAGATGTAGAAGGGACTGCTGAAAGTGGAAGTGCTGATGGCACAATTGGAACTTTAGAAGATGGCAGCGACAGTGAAAATATTCAGGCAAATGGAATTCCAGGGACTCCAATCTCTGTTGCATATACACCATCTTTACCTGATGACAGGTTATCTGTCTCTTCCAATGACACTCAGGTACTAAAGGAAATAAATGTTGAAGCATGTAAAGAAAATAATAATCTGTTTCTTTTTATTAATAATAATAATCTGTTTCTCTTACATTTGTGTAGACAACATGTTTTAATATAATTGTATAAAATAAATTGCCATTAAAGGAATCTCAGACATTAATTTTTTTTTTAATTTACTGTATTCCTCTTTGACTGCTATTTAAGACTTTTGCAAGCAAGTTACATGCAGGGCAGCAAACATTTTCACTACACAAGGTAGATGCTCAAATTCTAACACAGAATTTAACTTCCTTTGGATTTATATTAAATGCCTAAAAGGACACCTATCTGTATGTTCTGGGTGCTTCTTCCATAACATAAAAATAACTTCAGAAATATTGGAGAGTTATCAGTACCAATGTATATAACCCATTGCCAGCTCTCCCTGTACAATTCTCCCTTGTTTTCAAATGTCCATTTAAAAATACAAAACAAACAAACAAAACCCCTGCACCTTACAGTGTGCCCTAATGGTAATGATTTGAGCTATGCCATACACTCCTCATTTTTTAATATTAAGCTTTTGTAATAGCAAGAAATAAAAGAACTCTCCCTATCTTGCATTGAGATCTGGCAGCACGGATCCCTGCACATGTGTAGAATCCCGTTGGCTTCAAAAAACACGCTGCTTGGGCACAGAGGTCTGTATTGGCAGTTTACTACCAATCTGTACCAGTTTAAAATATAGTCTTTCCAACCCTAATTATGCTTTAATGTTTAAAGAGATGCTGTTATCTTTTAGTTGCACAGCATATGTCTCTGATAAGACTCATCATATCCTCTACAGAAGCGATAATGGCATTTATAGCATCACCAGAAGTTGGTAAATAGAAAAAAGTGACTATTTTATTCTAAAAGTTTTTGCCATCCACCATATACAAAGACTATAACAATACATTATAAATTATGCCTTGGCATTATGTCTGTTTAAGTATTCTCATGTAACCCACTGGTACAATTATAGTTGAGGTTACCATTTCTTTTCTTTCTAAAAGTTATTTTCTAGGAGCCCTGAGTGAGGGCAGTATAGTCTCAGTTGTCTTCTATAAATTTGACCTGTCCACACTTTACTTATTGGCTCTGACTTTACATCTTCATTTGATGACACTTAACTTTACTGAGTTGGCAGTTTTATTAATGTTTTCTTCAGGTCTGTTTTAACTGAATTGCCAAACTACATTTTTAAAACTTAGTCTGGAGACCTTAAATTACATTTAAAATGTGGTTGTATTTGTACGATATCATAACTTATCATTGCTAGGAGGTGGGGATTTCCCTACACACTGCTAATGCAAAATGGAATTCTGAAATATGTTAACTTCTTTAGGAATCTGGAAATTCTTCAGGACCTACGCCTGGTGCTAAGTTTTCCCACATTTTACAAAAGGATGCCTTCCTAGTATTCAGGTCACTGTGTAAACTCTCTATGAAGCCGCTGTCAGATGGGCCACCAGATCCAAAGTAAGTCAGCATGATTTTCTTTTATGAAAATACTTAGACGCTAAAAAATAAAAATGGACACAAATGATAAGGGTCTTCTGCTGTTGAGAAACAGTTAGCAATTTTGACAGAAAAGCCACATCATCTGAAAGTTTCCACTGAGCTGTACTTTATTTTTAATGTATTTTTTTATATGTTAAATGGCAGCATCTCTCTTTCTGCTCTGTTCTCTGGTAAGTTTTAACCACTTTACATGGCTTATAAGCCTGTGCTTTTCTATCTAGTCATTATTTTATCAGTAAACTAAGTCATCACTTTTTAATTACAAACCACTTCCAAACTATAAAGTCCAGTGTTTGATTAAAGGCTTTTAAATATTTGATAACTTTTTAATGTGTGATGACTGAAAGACAAATATTTTACTTGTAAGTTTATTTTCTGTTACTCTTTCTAGATTGTTGCAACTTGTGAACAGTATTGCTTTCCCCAGACAGTAGAAAGGAAAATAAACTAATCAAAATTCAGATTGTTGTCTGGGAATGAGGGCATAAGATTCTCTAAGGAGTACTTTCACTACAGTTCTTCTTCAAATAGTGTCCTTTTGTGCACAAACCCATGTACTCTTGGTTGGAGACTTTCATCAGTAGTGTCTGCAGGGCTGCACCTGTGCCGTAGACATCCTCATTCTGTGGTACAAAGGTGTGTAGGGAGGGGATGGATCCATTGTCATTTTTTTTTTTTAAACTCTGACCTTAGTCCATGGCCTCAAGGACAGAATATGCCCAAGACCCTGGGTGTCAAACCCTGCCAGACCTGCTATAGGTCTTCCCTTCACAGCGACAGTCATTCAAGTGGCCTTCGCTACCTGGGGGAGACTCATGTCTACTCCTAATGTAAGATCTGCTCAAGCTTAAAAGCAGATGTAAGAAATTGAGGGAAGACAGACTGGAGCACTTGGTGATGGAGTGCTCTCTGAGACCAATGGGTCTGATTCACCCCCCCATACTTTGGATCTGGTTGCTCACAGAACCCAGGTGACTGTCTTTGGTATGACAGTAGGTCCTTGGGGCCCTTCACAACTATCTAGACCCTCAAAGAAGAAAAGACCCCTTTCTCCAGAATGGGAAAAGAGAAGGGGAAAGTCCCCACTTTGGTCTGGGTCTTAGGAGACCTTGCATTCCAATGTGGGTAGCAGTGAGACTCCCATCCCCTCCGGTACCAAGACTCCAGCATCAGCTAAGAAGACCATGCCATGTACTGAGAAGCTGTCAGGTAAACAACCTAGATTGACTGTGGCATCAACACTGAACACCATGTTTGTGAAACACAAGGACTCCAGAGCTGAGCTGGAATAGTCATCAGCACCATCTTCTGTAGCAAGATATGAAAAGCACACCGATTGCACTTCGGTGCTGTCTCCAGTACCACCTGGCATAATGACTCCTGAGGGACCCACCTAGAGTCCCCACCACAGTCCAAGCTCCTATTCCATAAGGACCTTGGAATCCTGGAAGAGCCTGAATCACCATTACAGAGAATTATTGAGAGACACTCTCCACCAGTGCCAACTCACCTCCCAGAGCATAGGTACTCTCTGATCCTACCATCTTCAATGGTGACTCATCCTCTGATGCCAATACAGACCCCCACCCCACACAGATTCTTTGAGGGTACAGAGAGACATTTCCAGCTGGTATCATTCTCTTGTACCGTCCCATCAGCTATCAAGCTATGGTACCAGTGAAATTACAGGATCTTTCAGAATCTGAGGCCGACTTGACCACTGGTAATGGCACCACTTGCCCCTCCAGTAGACCCCAGGATGACATGTCATCCAATTCTAAGGTGTCTATACATGGTTCCTCCATCTTTCAACCTCCCTTCCTTGAAGTATGCTCTGAGTACACCCGGCAACCTTGGGGTCTTGACCCTTCCCTTATGCCCCACCACAGTCAGCTTATTGGAACCTGTGGGCCCCTTATAGTAACCAGTTCTACAGGGTCGCATCTCATAAGAGAGCACATCAGGAGTAACAGCCCACTACCCTTTGGTCCTGCTCAACAGAAGGATCTTACACATGAGCTAGAGCCAGCTGAGGAAGAAGAAACACCACCTTCCACAAATCCTCCTCCTCACCAGCTGAGGTGGTCATGCCACTCCCACCATCTTACAGATCCCAGTCCTTATGTGCTGACTCTGTACAACGATGGAACTGGTGCATATCACACCACATACAGATCTTAGCTGTTTATCTACCAGGACTACAGAAGACAGTGGCACACTTCCTCAGCAGGCACATCTGCATCGGCCATGAATGGGAGCTAAACAAGGTATTCAGAGAGCTATATCTTACCATCTACAGATAGAGCTCTTTGTGACTTCATCCAATTTGAAGTGCAGGCGATTCTGCTTGAGAGGAGGGCACAGTTGCAACTTGATGGGAGATGCTATAGTCATTCCTTGGCCTTGTGTATGGCTGTATTCTTATTCCCTTTACTGCTCAAAGTGCTAAACAAAATAAAACAAGAAAATTAAGTAGCCATCCTCATAGCTAGACAGCACTAGGCCCTGTTAGGGCTTCATCCAGGCATTTCATCTTGATTGCAGAACAAATGAAATGACATTCAGTTTCCACCCAAAGATTGTCCAAATGGGTTCTAGGATGCATCTTAACCTGTTAAGACGCCTCAGGGGAGTGTCCCCCTCAAAGGGTGATTGCTTATTCCACCAGAGGTCAATCTACCTATGTAGCCCTATTTAAAAACATACTGCTCAGATTCTGCAGGGCAGCCACCTGGTCTTTGGTGTGCTCATTTTCCCAGCATTATGCTCTTGTGCCTGCTTCCAGAGCTGGACATGGCTTTCGGTGATGCTGTTCTATGGACGTTACTAAATCCTCCTTCTCTGTAATTGAGGTGCTTCTCAGCAATCTCCTGATGTGGAGCACCCATAGGGACATCACTTGAAGAAGGAGGTTGCCTTGTACAGTAACTGGAGTTCTTCGAGATGTGTGCTTCTATGGGTGCTCCAATGCCTGCTCTCCTTCCCCTCTGCCTTGGAGTCTTCCGCAGGACTTTCCTGGTTCAGAAGGAACCAGAGTGTCGGTGGGACTATCTCCTCCCTATATACCCTCATAGTGGAGCATGAGGGTGTCTTGGTCATAGGCATGCATCCGCAGGCACTGCTGACAAAAATCTCTGATCAAGAGTGCACAGCTGTGCACCACATCCTGACATGGAGCACCCATAGGGACATGCATCTCGAAGAACTCCAGTTACTGTACAAGGTAAGTAACCTCTCCCTTTAGAGGTCGGAAACAAATTTCTAACCAGCAGAAACAGAGACGATTGAATTCAATCTGGTTCCACCCAAAGAATAATTATCTCCCCTTTTTGATTTTGGCTAGGGCGGGGTATCTAATAAACTGTAAACTGCATATACTAGTGAGGAAATTTCCTTCTTTTTATTCCTGCTAGATTATCATGGTCCTTTGGGGATAGCACAGGGAAGGAATTAATAGAGAACCAGCTGCCAAAGGCTACTTCAGACAAAACTAACCAATCCATAAGTTAATGGTTGGGGCATATACACAAAGATACCCGAGTTAAAGCCTCTACCTATTAAGTTTCTACAGGTCTAGTAGGGTGAACCCTCAATTTCAGAGAAACTTAGTTTTGTTAGAGCAGACTTTTTAACTATATTGGGAGATTAGGGTCTTCACCCATAGGAAAATATAAAAAATGAGGGGGGAAATATATTAAATAATCTGGACCACCCAGTCTCTTTTATCTCTCATGCTTTCTCACATGCCTGGTGCTTGGGTATTCATTAATATTCTCCTGGCTCCCATTTGACCCCACATCATGGGTTGCCCTAATCCCATTTCAGTTTATTTTGCAAATAGCCACAAAAGTTGTGGACCACTCTGAGCAGAGAGAGGGTAGAACTGAGAGGGGGTGGACAGTGCACCCTGGATGACCCCAGAAGCCCTCTTTCAAAATTCTAGGGCTTTCGGTGTATCCAGACCTTGATTTCTCATAGTTTAATTATAATGGCCAACCCATAAATCTTTGAAGATGGGACACCATACTGAGAAAAGTGTGTGGCTACTCCACTATGTGAGCATGCAAAATTCTTTGAAAATAGTATCCTTTCTAATATATTGAGAGAGAGGATTTAGAAGTTTTGAATAAAGATAAAACTATTGACTCATTTAAATGTCTCTTTAGTGTGAATAAGTATTGACCATCCAATTCAGTTTAAAGGGAAGTTGTACAAAAGAAATGGATTGCCTGTGATGATGAATTCTAAATGCAGCTCTTTAGGGAGAGAAGATGCCTTTGAACAGAGTCAGGAAATGCTGCTACCACTGATATCATAACCTTGGAATAGTTCAGGATACTAGTGATTTCAACAAGTAGAACAATAGTTTGTAGGATCAGAAAAAAGGTTGTAATATTATCTCATCCAAAGTTCTACGATAAGATTCTGGTTATCCATCCCCCAGACTGCATGGTCACTGTTTCTGCTGTAAAACTTGACACTGGATTATTAGCACCCTAGGGATGTATTCAGTCTCCCATCTAAACTAGTCTAGTCCACTGTGTTAACACTTCATCTCTCTAGCAGTGTTCCTAAAGAGCTAGAATGCAGGATATCTATGGTTTCAATTGTCATTACTTTGCTCTTAGTAATATCTAGATTCAGTTATGTGGCCAGTGTGGTTTTGCCCAAAAGGAGATGCTGTTTGTACTTCAGTTGCATCTAAAACCAAAAAGTGAGAGAAAATGTACACTCAAGTTGAAGCAAGAAATTACTCATTTTACTTGATCTAAAAGCAAGTTCTTCACATTGAAGAACTGGCATTGGTAGCAACAAGTCAGTGATACTGTGTTCTTAGTGCCCTGCTGTTCAGTTTGGGCACTTTGACCACCATACCTTAGTGGGCAAGGGAATATATTACTGGTAGTCTTGTCTTGAAAACTTGGAATCAATGATGAACACAAGTGATTGAAAAGACC